GTTTCGCTGTTGTTGCCCAGGCTGGAGTGCAATGGCATGATCTTGGCTTACCACAAACTCCGCCTCCCAGAGTCAAGTAATTATCCTGCCTCAACCTCCCGAGTAGCTGGGATTACAGGCATGCGCCACCACGCCTGGCTAATCTTGTATTTTTAGTAGAGAGGAGGTTTCTCCATGTTGGTCAGGCTGGTCTCGAACTCCCGACCTCAGGTGATCCGCCCACCTCAGCCTCCCAAAGTGCTGGGATTAGAGGTGTAAGCCACCGCGCCTGGCCATGCTGCTCATTTTTTACTTACACACTGGAGTATTTTTAAAGGCTGACAGCATAGTCAAGGACCTGGAATCTGGTAGTGAATTCCCTGTCATTTAGCTACATTCAAGCAGAATGTGGGTGACCCACCTGATAGGATGTTTTAGAGAAAGTCCCTGCATTAAGCAGAGGGCTGGGCTAGATATTTCCTCCAAGGCCTCTTCCAACCCTGAGATCCCATTATTCTGTAGTTCTCTGACCTGATTATAGAGAGCCAGGGCATGGGTTCCCAAGACAGCGTCTCCCTAACTCTGGTGCCCCCTCCAGCCTCTAGCAGCCATGATGGAGGAGGAGCCAGAGTCGGCCAGACCAGAGGAAGGCAAACCCCAGGATGGTGAGTGTCACCCACCTCCATCCAGAGATGGAGTAGGATCAGAGGCTCAGCTGTGGCACAGAGGGTGGAGGAGCAAAGGGCAGGCCAGCTTTGGATAGATGAGGCCCTTCCACAGAAGGGTAAGAGAATAAGAATTGACCTCCACGAGACAGACAATTTGTTGGTGTTTCCTATCCCAGGAAACCCTGAAGGGGATAAGAAGGCTGAGAAGAAGACACCTGATGACAAGGTAAGAATCTTTCCTCCCTGCAAGGACCCCAGTCCTCTCCCCAACCCAGCTCTGACACCACCACTCATGGCCCTGGCGGAAGCTCACTCTTTAACTCCTAGGCTTCCCATCACCCTTGACCTACTCTCTCCATCACCTTGCACACCCACCCACAACCAAAACACTTCTCTCAGTTCAGGGACCTAGAAGAGAGTTGGAGTGTAGAGTGTGTGGTGAATGTCCCTGCCTTGGAATCCTGCCCCTCAGTGTGGGGTAGAGGAGCCCTAAGACTCATCATTCCCTTTCACCCCCAGCACAAGCAGCCTGGCTTCCAGCAGTCTCATTACTTTGTGGCTCTCTATCGGTTCAAAGCCCTGGAGAAGGACGATCTGGATTTCCCGTGAGAGGCCTTGGGGCAGGGGGCTGGTACTGTGGAGTGAAGAGGAAAGAGCTGGGTTCCCCCAAGGGAAAGGAAAAAGGGGGACTCAGGGCTTGGAGCCTATTGATGCTGGACCAGGGGCACAGAAGGGGACCTGCTATGTGAGTGAGGCCTCTCTTTTCCCCTCTCAGGCCAGGAGAGAAGATCACAGTCATTGATGACTCCAATGAAGAATGGTGGCGGGTGAGAAAAATGGCTAGGGCTAGGATGGAGTGTGGGTTGAGTCACGAACCCCACATTGAGAGATGGACTCTCCCTACTATCTTCCCTAGGGGAAAATCGGGGAGAAGGTCGGATTTTTCCCTCCAAACTTCATCATTCGGGTCCGGACTGGAGAACGTGTGCACCGCGTGACAAGATCCTTCGTGGGGAACCGCGAGATAGGGCAGATCACTCTCAAGAAGGACCAGGTAGGCTGTTGCTCCAATCCAATCCCAGGCCTGAATGCTCCCTAGCCGACCACACTCCTTGGAGAGCTTAACCATTAATGAGATCAGGGTGAGCCCCTGTAACCCCCGGCTCCCCTGCTGTCCTCTCCTACCGTTTCCTTTGATTCCTCTCCTACTTCTGATCCTTTAATCTTCTAGATCGTGGTGCAGAAAGGAGACGAAGCGGGCGGCTACGTCAAGGTCTACACCGGCCGCAAGGTGGGGCTGTTTCCCACCGACTTTCTGGAGGAGATCTAGGCCTGCGGGCGCCTGCAAGCGGGAGACACCCACACCCCATTCTGGGCGGGCCCAGTGGAGTTTGGGGAGGGGGCGAAAACAACGGAACTGCTGGGAGAGGAGGGGTTGGAAGGCCCGCCTGAGCGCGACGGGGCTTCCGGAAAGGGACTGTTTCTCGCCCCGTTCCCCAGCCTGGGGCCTCGGATACCTGCTGCCCAGAGCAGCCCGGATCCGAAACCTGTCAGGCCCCGCTTGCAAGAGCTGGAAAAAAACGCATATCTACTAGCAGAAGCGAGGAACTGGGGCGGGGGGCGGGGGCGAGGGAGGGCGAACTGTCGAATGTTGCAAGTTTTATTAAACTTTTGACAAAACTTAGAAAAGTTGTTCTTTAACTGGGGTTGAGGAGAGGGCCTGCGGAGGGGTGGAGAATCCTCCCTAACTGCCCGACCTCGTTACCATCGGGTAACCTGAGACCCATCTGGGCTGAGGTTGGCGGGAGGTGGGAAGACAAGTGCGCCCGCCGGGTGAGGCCTCTGTGGTCAGTGAAGAAAGGGGAGCGCGGGGCTGCAGTCGCCGCCCCCGCGCGCCAGCGGCTGGGAGCCGGTTCTTGTAGTAGGGTAAGTCCCCCTTGCTCTTGGCTATTTAGCCGCAGGCAGCCCCTTGTATTTCGGAATCTGGCTTGGCGCCGAGTTAGGCCGCCAGGGGGCGATGCAAGATCTCGGTTGGAGAGCGAGGGATGGGGAGGGGGTAGAGGGTGGGTAAGGGGAGAGAACCAGAGACACCAAGCCCGAGACCCTGGGCCTGGGAGGGGGTGGGGTGCGTGCCGTCTCCATGGCAACACTTCCTCAAGTCCTCCGGGAACCGAGCTAGCTAGGCCTGGGGCCTAACCCCTCCCACGCGGCCCCTGCCCTAACCCTTTCCGACAGGTTCCGAGTGAGGACGGAGGGCAGACAGCTAACCGGCTCTCGCGGAGACCCCCCGCGGAGCGCCGTATGCAAATGTTGTTATTTGCATATGTAAATATGCAAATACGCCGGCCCTGGTCAGGGCGGCAGGTGGCGAAGAGCGGGAAGGTGTGGGGAAGGGAGCAGAAGGAGACGAGGAGTTTGGGGACCTGGGAGCGGACCCAGTGAGAGGGAGGCTGAAGTGGTCGCTGGAGTGGGGCAAGCGTGTGGGGGGGGGGTCTTGAGCTCGATGCCGGGTGGGGGAGGGTCGGCTTGGCCAGCCAGGAGCTCCTCTTCTCGTCTGCCCGTTGTCTGCCAGGACTGAGGTTGGCACCGCCTAGCAAGGTTGGCAGCGGGAGCCCGGGCACCATCTGCTGCTGGCGGGGGGAGGGCCGAGACTCAGCTGGGAGGAGGGCCTGGGACAGGCGCGCCCCCCTTCCAGAAGGCTGAGGTGTGATGGGGGTAGGGAAGCACACAAGAAGACTGCAGGACCGGGTTCAGCATTCTGTTCCCTTTGCCCTTGACGGTCCCGGATGCCTGAGGGGGTGGAGGTGAGGTCATTAAAGAAAACCCCCCTTTAATCGCGATTGAGCTGGAATAGGAGCAGATCACAGGCAAACACACACACCAACCACACGCAAATCAAGCCTTCTGTCCTCATCCTTCCTTGAAATCCACCTAACAGGAATGTATGAGGGGAGGGACCGCGAGGGCTCGGGTCGTCTCTATTCATCAAGGTCTGAGGGACTCAAAACCAGAGCCCCCCCGAGATCCTCGAGAGGGCCCCCCATCAATGCTCAGGCAAAACCAATTTACTGGCTCATTGGGCGGCAGTGCTGGTGTGCGGATGCCGAGGAGCAGGGAGAACGGCTGTTCTCTCCCTACACTCGGGGGGCGCCCCCCTCCCTAGCCTCACTGAGCCGGCAGCTGTCCCTAATTAGAGCGGCGGTTTAATTGGATTTATCAGCAGTTAATAGGAAATTAAGCAAAGGGCCCGAGAGAAGGGGGGCGGGAAAAGCGGGGAAACAGGCTGTGCTGAACTTGAAGGAGGGGTGCTAGGGTACCAGGGGTGGGGACATGTGACCCAGTGTCCCGATGGAGCCCCATGGTTACACCCTCCCCTCAGTACTCACCAAGACTGTTAAGCCCTGGCCTGCAGGCCAGAGAGCAGGTCCCCAGAGAGCGCAGTAGGCGTGACAGCGACCCTGTGTGAGCTCCCAGCGCCCTTCATCCCCGTAAGCGGCGCCTAGGTGATGGATGATACTGCCGCACGCTGCAAAGGTCATAAGTCTGGGCCAAGGAGCAGAATGAATTGAAAACAGATCCGAGGAAGGGCCGGTACTGGGGTACAAGACAACCCGCACCCCAACCTCCTCCACTGCCCACTCAGCGCGCGCGCGCGCACACACACACACACACACACACACACACACGTGCCCCTTGAAGTTGGAAGACTGGGCAGCACGGGGGGGAAAGGGCAGAGTACAGAGTGACCCTCTCTATAAACCCCACTGGCAGCCGTGTTGGGGATCCTGAGAATCTTCTGGTGCAGCTCCAATGTTCCCTTTGGGTTTTCCCTCCACCAAACTGCCCGATTTGAGTCTGTGGGGTCCCCCGGGTCTGCTGCTCAGGGGCGGCCCAACATCGACACCACGCTCCCTAGGGGCCAGTCAAGGAAGCTTGCAGGCAGCTAAGCCCTGGCGCACGGGCCTCTTAGTCCACAGCCCCAGGCGCCTCCTGTCACCAAGACTTCATTATACTGCTAGGTTAACGAGGCCTGCTCCGGAGACCCTGAGGACCTCCCTGCCACATTCCACCCTGCAGGGCACAGATGGCAACTCTTGCATATACTAAGGTGTGCTAGCCTCTGAGTGGGTGTGGGTGGTCTCTCCGTGCCCCTGGCAATTATGGACGTCTGTATCCCCGGCGTGTGGTTTGTGTGTGTCCGTTTGTTCCCTGGGTATGTGAGGTGTGTCCACCTGAGCCCCAGGTGTGTCCGACTCTGTGTCCGGGTGTGTGTCTGTGCCCCGAGTGTGTCTATATCTGTCGGGTTTGTCCACTTCCCGCTCCCCAGCTCCCATCTGGGTGATTTTGCCCGGATGTGCCTCTGCGTGGGGGCGTTTCCGTGCGTCTCCGCCTGCAGGTATGTGTGAAAATCAGGAAGAGCCAGCGGGGAGTGTGTGTTGCTATCGCGTCTCCGCCTGCAGGTATGTGTGTCTCGGTGACAATGCGTGGGCGTGTGCCTGGGTGTGAGCCGCGCGGCGGCGTGTATCCGAATGACAGTGTGACGCACGTGCGCACGCGCGCGCGCGCCGGAGTGAGTCTCCCGCCCCCACTCCTTCCTTTCCCCATTTCTATTCCTCTCTCCTCTCCCGGCCAGCTCGGCTTCGCCGTCCGCATCATCTCCATCCATTATTGAAGAAACAGCCGCGTCCGCTCCAATCACATCAATACCCCCGCCCCTTCTCCGTTCCGCTCGCCCCGCGGCCCCTCTGGGTGCTGAGGAGAGGGGAAGCTAAGGCGCGGTGGGGGCGCCTGGTGGGAATGGGCTTATGACCCTTGCCCCAAGCCCGGCCAGGAGCCGGACGCCGGGGTGCCCGGCGGAGAGCGCTTTGCATAAACAGATGGCGCGGGCGTCTTTGTCTCACTTGCTCGCTCACCGCGCAGCTCCCGGCTTCGCTTCTGTCTGGCTGATGCAATCATGATCATCTCGGTGCCTCAGGAACCGGCACCCTTAATAATGGCAGAAGGGGTCAGGGGCCCCGGGGCTCCCGAGCAGATGCTGGGCCCTGTGTCTTCCCTCCCGGGCGCCCCTCCACGTCCCACAGCCGCGGCGGGAAGACCAACGCTGCGCGGAGGTGACGGGCATGTGGAGGTGACCAGGAGGAGGACCCTGGGCACTGAGGAGGAGGACCCTGGGCACTGAGGAGGAGAACCCTGGGCAGTGCCCCGAGGCGTCCCCGGGCTGCCCTGTTGGGCTGCTGCAGTCCCCAGAAGTAGCAACCCAGAGAATAGGAATAGAGCTGGGGAATGGGGTCGGGGAGAGACAGAAATAAAGACAGAGACAAAGAGAGGCATTAGTAAAGAGAGACACAGTTGGAGAGATGTGAAGGGAGGGAGCGAGACACAGAGAGACACAGAGAAACCGATGCAGAGGGACAAAGCCAGGTAGGGAAGGCAGCAAGAGAGCAGACACAGCCAGAATGATAAGGAAGAGAGAGATGGACATACCCAGAGAGAGGAAGCAGACAGACCGCCCGAACAAGAGGCAGAAAGAAGGGCAGTGAGAGGCTAGGACAGGCCGGGTCAGAGGGTTTAGGGCAATCTCGAATCTGCAGCCCAGAAGCAGAGATGAAGCCCCCGCCTCCCCCGCCCCCAGGCATCTGAGTCTGCCCAGCCCCAGAAGAGGAACCCGCCTGAACCCTGGGTGCTGATTGTGGCTGGCGAGACAGGAGCTTCCGCGTCCCCTCTCCGCCCTCCGGTCCCATCTCACACGAGAAGAGTGGAGGCTGCGGGACCCACTGTCTTGGCGGCGGGAGTGGCAGAGTGACTCGCTGGGCGTGGACGGAGACTCCAGGCACCAACTTAGCTGCCCGAATGCCGGGAGTGCAGGGTCGGCACTGCCGGATAGGGGGTGCCCAAGGCCTCTTCCCCGAGCTTGAGGGCCCCTCGGCCTCCAGGGGGCGCCCGTGCCCACGGCCCCTGCAACACGCTGAATCCGCTGAGTACCGCTGCCTTTGACCCGCTGTGCAGCCAGCGCGCGGATTGGGATCCTGGTGTGGGTTAGCGCTTGGAGTCCAGTCCCAGCGGGATCCCGGGCCGCGCCTAATCTGTGGCTAATGACTCCTGCGGTTCCTCACCCCGCTGGGCCAGCGTGGCCTGAGTCCTCGTGGTGGGAAAGTGTGGGGAGCCAGGAGAGATGGGATCCGGAACTCAAGGAGTCCTGTGTTCCAGATCGGCCCCATGGGCCAGCCAGAGACGGGAACCAAAGATGGAAGGGGGATTAGAAATAAGTTCACAGAGACAGGGACCAGAAGCAGGAGAAGGGTCAAAGAGTGGCGGAGAGGCGGAGCGGAGGTAATAATGTAACGTTGCAGCTCGGTGAGCTGGGCGGAGGCCCAAGGCCGGAGGAACAGCGGCGGCCCTGGAAAAGGAGTGTGACAGAGAATGTGGGACCTGGCCGGGATCACCGGAACTCAGAAGAAAGGGCCCAAGGAGGCAGGCAAGGGCTCGTGAACAAAGGCGCAAGGACCAGGCGTCCATTCCCGCGTCCTTGCTCCCCAGCTGTGCCACAGAGAACCAGATGTGCAGCCCAGCTGTGCGGCCGCTCAAGTTCGAGCTCTGGGGTTGCTTTTTGGTCCCAGAGACTGGAGGGCTGGGGTACGCTGGTGACAGGACACACCCTCCCTTCCTGGGCCCTGGAGGCGCGGGCTCTTCTCTGGGAGTGCTGGGCTGCTGGAGGCTCTGACATCCCGTCAGCCCCGCTCCCCCGCCCTCCACACAAATCGCAGCGAGTCTCTGTCTCTTTGTTCTCGCCGTGTCTCTGACACTTTATCTCATTATCCGCCGGAGGGAGGCGGAGAGCCCGGGACCCTGCAGCCTAATTACAGCCGCGCTTGTCAGAGTAGGGGGCGGTGGAGGTATCAGTGCGAAGGAAAGGGAGGGGGACCCTAGAAAGCGCCCTCTCCCTCCCTGTACCCCGAGGATCCCAGCCATAGGTGCATAACTGGCTCCCGCCCGCGCCCTCCACAGGGCAGGCTCTGGAAGGGGAGGTGGGGGGTGCTCTGCAGGTTCAGCAGCAAGGAGGGAGGGGGTGGTGGAGGTTATGGTGGGAGTGGGGAGAGATAATAGGACTCGGTTCCTGCGTCCCTAAGACCCAAATTCCCCAGAGACGGGGGTTGTGGGCTTCCCAACCGCGGCAGCATAGCACCCACCTGAGATGGTTGAGGACAGGAGGGAATCGCTCGCAGTTCTGTGTCTGTGTCTTGTTCTCTTTCAACATCTGTCTGATCTTTCCTGTTTCCCCCACTCCATTCCCTTCCTCTCCATCCCACAGCCAGAGGAAGGGGATGGCCTCCTTGGGCGGCCCCACCTTTACCCTACCCCAGGTAGGCAGAGCAAGCAAGTCTCTCAAGCGCCACTGCCATGACTGTGGTAGAATAAATACACTGGCGTATTCCATCCTGATCCTGAGCCATGATTAAGATACACCTGGTTCTTCCAGCCTCCAACCACGATTCCAGTTCAACCACAACCTGAAGAAACCACTCAGAACAAGAGGGGCTGGGGGAGCTTTATGGTGTGGGCCTGTCTTCCTCCTTCCCCCACTGTACTGTGAAGGGGACAGAACTAGGGTTCTCAGGACCTGCTCCTGGACAGCTCTAGGGGTGTCAGGGAAGTGTTGTACATGGCCTCATTGGCCCTGGCCCCTCCTGGTCCCAGCTGTGAACACTCTACACATGCATTTTGCTAAGTGCCTGTTCCATGACCATGCCTCCTCCCACATCTTATGGGGTCCTATGCCAGTGAGGTCCTTCCCTCAGATGCCAAAAGCCCCAAGAATGATGGTGTCCCTTGGTCCAGGTGCAGGCATCTGGAGGAGAGAATGGGAGAGCAGAAACCACTTGGCTCCCAGACAATTCCCCTCCAGGCTTTGGGCCTGGAATTGAGGAGAAAGTGAGCTAAGTTGGGGTGGGGCGAGTCCAAAGAAGCACAGGCTGGGCCAAGCTAAGCTGCTCTGGGCTGGGCTGATCCCTCCCCACTCAGGGGCGGGATCCCAGGAGGAGGGAGAGGACAGAGCCACTGGAGAAGACCAGACACTGGAAAAACGATATGGCAGGAGCCAGTCTTGGGGCCCGCTTCTACCAGCAGATCAAAAGACATCCAGGGGTGAGTCCCGTCCTCAGAACCTCTGATTCTAACTCCTAACTCTCCTGCTGCCCCACCCTTCAAATCCCCCAGTGCCTTGCCTTGTGCCCAGGTCCCTCAGCGCTCATAATCTTCCCCTAAGGTTACCCCAGTCTCTCTCCGAAAAGTCCCTGTGTCCCACAAATCTACTACCTTGGACAGGATTGCTGTAGGGTGAGGGAGACCATGCCAGGAAATATGGTTGTAGGAGATTCCAGGGAGGGAGCACCAGACCCGGGGTGGGGTTGGGGTAGGCACAAAAACTTGTGAAGGGTGACTGCGGGGAGAGAGCTGACCCCAGAAGTGCTCTTCATCTTCCCCGCAGATCATCCCGATGATTGGCTTCATCTGCCTGGGCATGGGCAGTGCTGGGCTCTACTTGCTGCGACTCGCCCTGCGCAGCCCCGACGTCTGGTAAAGGCCGGGCTTGGGATGCTCAGTGGGGGCTGGGTGAGGCAAGATGCGGTGAAAATAGGTGGCCCTAGTAGGGATCCCATGCCCTGCTGCATGCACCTTCGACTGTACCAACCCGCATCTCAGGGCTGGAGCCCACTGACCTGGGAGACCGCTTTATCCCCTCCAGCCCACCTGACTGCTCACTCCTCAGCTTGGCCCGCCCTGAAATGCGGAACCGACGCCTCTCCCCCTCTCCCCGGCCTGGTTGCCATGACGACGCTGCTCCGCCAGCGGCGGGCTCGGGCTTTTGGGTACCTCTAAGTCCTTGCCAGAGCACTGGGGGTGTGGCTGGGTGAGCTGCTGGGGGTGGCATTGGGGACCAGTGTGGGGCGGAGATTTCACACCCGGCCCGCGGAGGGGGTCCGGAAGTGAAAGGCGCACCAACGGCTTTATAATTCCTGGCACATCACCAGAAACCCAGCCCCTTGGGATCTCTGATTCCCACTACTCTGCTCTTAGGGTTAACCTAGGGTGGCAGGTAGCAAGTGGGAGTCCCTGGGCCCCGTTGTCAGTTTGCCACCCAGTCCCATGCTGACAATGGTTACAGGCTTCTTGTCTCACTTGTCAGCATCTGCTAATACGACCGTTCCTTTGTCAATCCTGGGAAATGGGACCCCCAGGGCAGGAGGCGGGAGTACCGGGGTGGGGCCAGAGCCTCTAGCTGGAGCTTGAGGGTCAAATTGGGTCACAGAGTCCTGGGTCCCAGGGAGGAGACCCTAACCCTCCCCTTCCTGCTCCACAGCTGGGACAGAAAGAACAACCCAGAGCCCTGGAACCGCCTGAGTCCCAATGACCAATACAAGGTACCTCTTGATGGCTCTAGGGTCACTCCCCCATCCTCTTACCTCCTGGTCCGGGTGACCCACAACTCCCGTACCGTAAGCAAAGGGAGGCTTGGAGCACTCAGCGCAACCCCCTTTCCCTCTCCTCTTAGTTCCTTGCAGTTTCCACTGACTATAAGAAGCTAAAGAAGGACCGGCCAGACTTCTAAGCCAGGCTGGGCTGCCAGTGCCATGCAAACCACGGACAGCCAGCCCATCCACTTCTTCCACTCCTCCCCTCAGGCCCCAAGGCGTCAGTCTGGCCACGCTGTCCTGCTCCTGCTCACACAGGCCGGGTTCCCACGCAGAGGGGAGGCTGCTCCACCCCTACTTTCCTCCCTTGCTCCCAGCAGCGGAAGCGCCTCTGACCCTTGGCTTGAGTCCCACGTGGGGGAGGAGGAGGCAGGCAGCACCAGCAGGGGTCCATCAAAAGAGCCCAGACTAGCCCCTCTGCCCTCCTACCCAGGCCTCGAAGGGTGTGGCACAGGCTACGTGTTGAGCGTGGCCTACGTGAGCCAACAAGAAGCAGGGACCTCTGAGTGCCAAGAGACGTGGCGGGCTCCACGTTCGCCCAGGCTCTGGGAGCCAGCCCAGGGGCGGTGCTGCTCAGCTCCGGCTGGTCCAGGGCCTGCCTAGGCTGGGGCACCTTTGCCTCCTGAGGTGCAGCGCACTCCTCCCTGCCCAAGCCCGCTGCCTCTCGCTGCCATCAGTACCCCCTCCAGCCCCATACCTGGGCCTCCCCTTGCTGCTCCCCTCCCTTGCTCCCCTCTGTCCCCAGGGATCAAACAGAAGCAGCCGTGGGCAAAATACAATTTCATTTAACAAATTGAATTTGCTGCGCCTGCTAATCACGTCTGGTGTCGGCTCTGATCAGAGACAGAGAGAGGAGGCTTCAGCCCCGGGGGGTCCTTGTGGTAGAGGTGGTGGGAGGGGAGGAGTGTACACATTGAAAGAGACAAATCACTGTTTGGCCCAGAGGACCCCACCCACAGTAATGGAAACTCAGGGCAGGTTGGTATTTTATTAGATAAAAACAGGAAGGAGGGTGCCTACCCACCCCTGCCTGCCACTGGCTCTGAAGGGCACTCCCCAACTTCCCCAAGAAGGAGCACGCATCTCTGACACTGTGATCCTGACAGGGGTTCAAACAGAAAGTGCCTGGGCCCTCCTTCTAAGTCTTGTTACTGAAAAAGGGAAAAAGAAAGATCTTCTCAGTTACAAATTCTGGGAAGGGGGACTATACCTGGCTCTTGCCCTAGGTGAGAGGTCTTCCCTCCCCCACCAAAAAATAGAAAGGCTTTCTATTCCACTGGCCCAGGTAGGGGGAGGGACAGTAACTTCCAGTCTGTGGGCCTCATTTCCCAGGTGCCTTCAATGCTCATCAAAACCAGGCATGGGGAAGCCCCTGGCAAACTGCTCCACCCGTTGCCTGAGGTCGGCCAGACGCTGACTTGTTTCTGAGTCCTTGAGCAGGAAGGATTTGAAATCTTGGAGCTTGCCTTGAGAGAGAGGGTGAGGAAACAAGTGGTCAGAGCTCTAGGGAAGGCAGTGAGATCAGCTGGGGGAGGGAGCAGACAGTGAGTGGGAACTGGCTGGCCCCAGGTTCCTTCTTGCTCACTCACCAGTCTTGGTCTTCACCTCTAAGCCAATGTTGACCCCTTCATCTATAAAGTCCACAACTCTCCGGAAGTCATCCTCACGGAACTGTCGAGAAGTCAAGGCCGGGGCCCCTGGAACGAGGCACAAGGGGAGGGATGAGCATAGCCCAAGGTCACCCAGCAGTCATCCAGCATGGGAGCCCCTTCCCTCCTCGAACCCCAGGTCTCACCAAGCCGCAGGCCCCCCGGTGTGATGGCACTTCGGTCTCCAGGACAGGTGTTCTTGTTGGCAGTGATGGATACAAGCTCCAGCACCCGCTCAGCCCGAGCTCCATCCAGGCCCTTGGGCCGCAGGTCCACCAGCACCAGGTGATTGTCAGTACCACCTAAGGTGGGTAAGAAATGGGGAGTGGTGAGTCTCCTGGGCCTCTGCCTGAAGCTACAGAGGCCCTCACCCATCCCCTGCTGGCTCACCTGATACTAGTGAGTAGCCTCGCTCTAGCAGGGCATCCGCCATGGCCCGAGCATTCTTCAGAACCTGCAGGGAGTACTCCCGGAACATGGGGGTGCAAGCCTGGAGATGAGACAGTAGCAGCTGTGACCCTAGGCCTGGACCCAAGCCCTGTACTACCTGGCCCTGCACCCTTGGCATAGCTCTGTGACCCCAGCCTTGACCCCTTCCATCCTGGCATTTCCCTTCCATCAGCCCCAGCATCAGTTAGCAAGGTGCAGGACCTAAGCCTCCAGGCCATTGCCCCCCGACACCCTACAGGGACAGGATGCCCAACCTGCTTTAGGGCCACAGCTACTGCAGCAATGGCATGATTGTGGGGGCCCCCCTGCAGGGATGGGAACACAGCAAAGTTGATTCGGTCCTCAAATGTGTAAGGGATCTCCCGGCCAGTCTTGGGGTCCACAGCCTTCACCCCTTTCCGGTAAAAGATGAGCCCTGACCTGTGTGAGAGGTGGGTGGTCAGAGTCTAAGCTGAAAAGAAGGACAAGGCACAGAGAAGGCAGAGGAAGCTGGTGGACCTGAGCCCCAAGGGCACACCTCACATGGGCTAGGTACACTGGGTTCCAGTGGTAAAGGGAATCAGTCCCTCAATCCCGTCCCCAAACCCCCTGCCAGAGCATAGCTACCATGGGGAAGAGAAGGAGAACTGTCACAGACTGGGTAGGAATCTTAAGGGCTGCAGGTGGGAATGAATTCCTCTCAGGTCCAGGCCAACGGTGCCCCAGGAATAGGCCTGAAGGCAGGGAAAGGCAAGGCCCGACCTCAGGGAGCCTGACCTGGCCCCTCGAAGAGTCTTGTGAGTAGTGGTGGTGACGATGTCCGCGTGCTTGAAAGGCGAGGGAATCACCTTGGCAGCCACCAGGCCACTGATGTGAGCCATGTCTGCCAGTAGGTGTGCTTTGACTTCATCACACACCTGGGCAGGTACGGAGGCAAGGCCTCAGCCTGGGGAGGGCCTGGAGAGGCCTGCCCAAGGCTGCCCTCCTCTCACACCTCCTCACCACCCCCTGGGGAGGTGCCCAGTCTCCAGCCCCCCACCAACCTCTCTCATGCGGGCATAGTCAATGAGGCGAGCATAGGCGCTGGTGCCAGCTATGATGAGCCGCGGTCGGAAAAGTCGAGCAGTCAGTGCCAGCTGGTCATAGTCAATGAGGCCAGTTTTGGGCTGGACAGACACACAAACAGCTAAAGCCCTGAGAAGGAAGCAGGGCAGCTCACTCTCCTCCTTGACCCTAAGGACAGCCCAGCACTTCAGTTCCTCAGCTTCTCCAGGAGAGGACCCCCACCAGGGCTAAGAGCCCCTCCCCACACCCTGGAGCACTCACATTGAGCTTATAGGGCATAGACTCGAAGAAGATGGACGTGGCTGATATCCGCTTGACGTCAGACATGTAGCCGTGGGTGAGACTGGGAAGTGAGAGGAAGTAAGGAGGCCTGGGTGGAAGGACTCCCAGACTTAACCGCTCCCTTCAACTCCACAGTTCTCTGTCCCTGGAACACCAGTCCTAGCACACACTGCCTCACTGCTCTGTCCACTCTGTGGTAGGCACTGTAACTGGGATCTTATCTTCCTCATCCACTGTGACATGCAGGACAGGGCAAGACCTGTTCCATCTGTATGGTCCACAGTAGGTATTCAATAAATAACTCCTTTCCCACACCAATCCTGCCCGCCAAGACCATCAGCCAGCCCATCCATACTCACTGGCCCCCATCGGGCAGGTCCAGCCCCATGATCCGGTCATGAGGTTGCAGAAGGGCTGTATAGACAGCCAGGTTGGCTGGGGACCCAGAGTAGGGCTGGACATTGACTCCCCACTGTGCAGGATCCAGGTCAAAGGCTTCCAAGGCCCGGCGCTGGCACAGCAGCTCAATTTCATCCACCACCTCTGCTCCCCCATAATATCTGCCGTGGGAGAGGGGTAATGAGGGCGCAGAGAAAGGACTCTCAACCAGCAGCAAAGGACTGGGAAGTTCACTCCTCAATGAACACTGGGAAGGTACAGGTGGGTTCCCCCACTGGGAGCACCATCCCTGACACTGCCCTGCAGCCCTCACCTCTTGCCAGGATAACCCTCCGAGTACTTGTTGTTCAGACAGGACCCCAGGGCCTCCAGCGCAGCTCGGCTGCAGAAGTTCTGGGGTGGTGGGGGGCAATGTCAGAAGGTATTGAGCCCCTTCCCCTGGACTCCCACAGTCCCTCCCTGCCAGAGCCAGAGCTGAAAGCGGGGATACTCCCTGCAGAAAGCTCCATTCACTCAGCACCAGGCCTGGGGCAAAGCCAGAGGCAGCATTCTCAGAAACCCAGCTGTCATGAGCGGTGGCCCCTCAGTGCCACCTACCCACTCAAACTTGTGCTTCTAGGCTCCTCCTTCCTCACAGGAGGAAGGAAGGAAGGGATCAGATGAGACTGTAGGGACCCTGGAGGCTCCCTAATGCCCTAACCCCATAAACTGGACTTGCCCTGCCTTTGCTTCAGAGAGATAAGAAAGGAAGATAAAGCCCCAAAGAAAGGTCCTGAGTGTGAAAAGGGGTTTTGGAGAAATATCAGTTAAGATAACTTTGTTACTTTCTGTACCCATGGTGGCCCAACCCCTGCCCATCTCCCCAGGTCCCACCTCTGAGGCAATGAGCTCCAGGCCACGACACTGCCTGTCCTTCTCCCTCTGCAGCAACTCCCACATCTCAGGATCGCTGTCCGACAGGCTCTCCTGGCCTGTCCAGCCCCTGTTTGCTTCCCCAGTCTGAGTCTGGGCTGCCTTGCTGTGCTGAGCCCGAATGGCCATCCTGACCAGCTGCCCCCATCTCTGCAGAGGCTAGAGGCAGGAAAAGTCGGTGAAATCACAACAGTCTGGACGAATCGTCTCCCAGCCACCCTCACTCATGCTTGTAAGGCCACACCTTGCAGCCAGTTGTTCAGCCAGCCTGTTTCAGTTCTAACTACCCCCACCTCCACCTTCGAAAGCCAGTTCTGGAGCCAAGCTTGAGGCCAACGTCCAGGGGGTGGTTCTGATTTGTTCCATTCACTGCACCGCACCTCAGAAATCTCCCACCAGCTCACTTCATGAACCACTTAGCAAAGTTTGTCCTCCAAAAGCCTATGTCTCCCTAACTCCAGAGAAGGCCACTGAGATTCCAGAACCTTCCCACCCACAGGAACAAGAAGGTCTTCCTGCAGGGCACCATAAACTGATACCCCAGTCAGCGTGGGGAGAAGCAGAGTTGGCAAGGGCTGAGGCCACAGGCTGTAGAGCAATGGAGGTGGGAGGGTAGACCTTTAGCAGTCCCTGGGGAAGAGCTGTGTGGGAGTGGTGGGGGTGGGGATCTGCCCCAGAGTAAGCCAATACCCTTTCCCCTTACTTAGCCCCCTACCCGTTCCACCTCCTTCCAGCCCTCACTGCCGCCGGGACCCCTGTCTGATGCAAGCAGTGAGGCTCGGTTGCATCATCTGCAGGGCTCAGAGCTGGCCGAAAAGGCTCAGCTTGTGAGGCCAGGCCGAGAACTCCACTCATTCGCCAGCACGGGGTCCGCGGGGCATCCGGGGCTGTCCTCTCCCCTAATGCCACGTGAAATGGGCGGTCACGAGGCCCTGGGGCGTCTGATCGCCAGAATGAGGACAGGCTCGCAGTTAACCCTACGCGCGCCCACGGGTCTTGGGGATTCCCTAGTTACACGTCCGCTCCCTGAGGCCTCAGTCCACGTGCGTGGAAAAGCCTAGA